GGTAGCAACAGCCTTTTTCAAGGTTAAAGCTTCAAAGCAAGCGCGCCGAACGCCCAAACCGGCCTTGAATGCCAGACCACGCAGTGGTTGATTGTAGAACTGACGGTATTTGTCGACTGCCGTTTGTAAGTAAGCATTGCCAGCCACTTTGCACGTTACATTGTTTGACGCGCTTAGTTTGCTGGTTCGGCAACGGGAGCAGGAGCTTCTGAATGTGGATGGCGCAAGCAGGGTTGGAATAAAACCTTTCTGGAAGGGTGTCCCAAACGATTATCTTGCAACCTTTCACATTGCATCAGGTGCAGAAACTGCGTGCGTTTCCGGCCCGCCAGGTCCAGTCAACACGAGCTCTGCGCAGTTTTGCGTACATGGCGACGTGGTATTCTAGCCGCGGGGTGAGGGTCAGCATGTGGATCTGGAAAGAGATGGGTGCCGCTCCTACAGCAAATTCATTTTGGGATTTATGTCTCTGCTCCTAAGCAGAATGAGAAAACCTCGTTGCCGCTGTCCGCGACAGGCTTGTTGCCTCACTGCTTGTTTGCAAGCCTACAAGTTTCCGTTTTGGCCTCGACGAGGGTGCCAGCTCGCGAGACGCGCGCGGGCTATCCAAAGCTTGGAGCTCCTAGGCTTCCGCAGCTTGAGTTTCCCGTCTCTGTGGGGAGTTGCACGTCCGCAAACATTTGCGTTGCAGGCCGGCCGGGCTGTTGGAAAAACATCAAAAGTCCTTGCGTCGCGTCCATTGCCTATTATAAGCCTTGTCGACCCGTACCGGGTTCTAAATCTGCGCCGCTTGCTTCCCCATACCAAGCCTGTCAACTGAGCATGTCACGCATGCGTTGAATTCAGGCAAGTTGGTTTGGAGGCAGGAGGCTGTCGTGCAATGAAGTAGCCAAGCAAAGTATTAAAAATCGGCTTCACTTCCACACAGTCTGCAACGCGGACGCCTTGGAAGAGCCAACCTATCAGAAAATTGTGAGGAGAGTGTCAGGATTTGTTGGAACACTGTTTTATCGGAAAGGTTGACCAACGCGGTGCATTCCCCTGTCCAAAGCAGCTCTGTACATTTGGAGCATGTACATGCATGTGGTCCCGCTTGCGTCGCTTGGAATTCGTAACTTGCGATAGCATTTTAATCTTGCTGTTTTGTTGTTGTAGATGTTTGTTTCATGCGAAGGCGGCAAAGCCTGCATGGATCAGGGGCCATATGAATTTTGAGCAAGGTGCAACAGTATTAACTCACAATTGCACATGTACTATGTGGAAGACAACAATGAACGTCTGCATTTGCCCAGAACCGTCGTCATCTGCAGTTTGCTGGTGTGAGTAGCGGGGGTCAGGTGAATCTTTTTTGGTCACCATGACGTGGTTCAGATGTGCGGCCTCGACGTTATTCTTATGATTTTTTCTCCAATTTTGATTTGTTAGACGGAACTTTTGGCAGTTCCCGCAGTCGCGCTTTTTCGGGAAGGCGCTGGCACAATTTTATGGCGTGAGTGCTGCCGCGACTTGCTTGCAGCGTCGTGCGCATTTGCCTCGAAACGCGTGCCTAGCACACGTGCAGCATGGCTCGTACACTCCGCCAGCAATTTTCAGAGAATGCAGCTTGACGTGTCGTGCCCATAACCCATGTCCTGATGGACGTCGCGCACATCATTCTGCTACGTGCTTCAGAACAAGGGCCATGCTTGCGTCGCTGTCCGCGCAGCGTGTGTGCCCGTTTTCTCGGCCTTCGTATGTGCCGCTTTCTGCTTGACATCTGCATCGCTTAAGCATGAGGAAATTTCTCCGCTTGGTAGTCATGTTATGGCCACGGCATCCACGTAACTCTCCATGGCATGCATCTCCGTGCAGGAACTGGCTATGGTTTGACCTCACATTGGCGGAAAGTCGCTGCCATGCCGTCTGGTTGTGGTTTTCATGTTGCGAAGCATTCCAGGAAACCAATAATTGAGTGCAAATTTGAAACGCTGTACTTGGGTTGCATGCTGGATGCTGCGGGCAACAATGGTTCTGAAGTCAGCCGAAAATTGGGTTCAGCGAACGCCGGCCTCCACAATTTGACGAGAACTGGAAAACACAGTGCGGTGTCAAGCGAAAGGCATTCGAAATGCCTGGGGCATGCGTTGTCGGACCGTTTTTGTCACATGTTGTTTGGCTGAACAAAGCTGCCTTTCGTCGCACGATGGACGGCTTTCATGCTAAATGCCAAGCACTTCTTGGCGTCCCGCATCCGTATTTGATTACCGTTCTGATCAATTCGGAGATGCTGAGGTAGACTACCTGCAAACCACATTCCGGGGTGTTGTTGTGCAGGGGTTGCCCTGCTTCCATTGTCTGACGTCGTGAGCGCATGCGTTTTCGAGGAAGGTGACGTGAAATTCAAGTGCCATGACAGCCCCCCAATTTCAAGGCCGCCTTGGGAATACTTGGGCTTTGCGAGTTTTTCAGCCAGTTGTACGGGTAGTAGGTCCCAATTTGTTATCATGGGCGGGAGGTTTATCATTGTCCGGTTTTGGGTTCCGGTCGACAACGTTCTCACCACTGCACCCAGCGGCACAGACCCGATTTGACTTGATGTGCAGGCATTTGCAACAAAACAAAACAACTCCAACCAGTGCGCTGGGTCAATCGGCGGCCTGGAACGAGGGAAGGTGGGCGGTCGCGCGCAACTTGCCTCAACTTCTCCCCGGCCAGCAGGATGCGCACGGATGGATGTCACTGCTGATGAAGCTGCCCTTGTGCCCCAGGATTTCCCACGAAGCTGACATTCCTGATAAACTTGATGAATGGGAGGTAAATGTGCCCAGGGATGCACATGGGGACTGAAGGGGATGCACGAAAGTATAAGGGTCGTTCTACGAAAAGTTTCCCCGCGCATTGCTGCAGGATCTCTGTGCGTTGAGCCCCGCGCCGCGTCGCCGGACGCACTAGTGGGGCCGCCTTGCAGGAAGCCCGCTGGGCCCAAAAACGGACGTACCCCGAGTCTGCGGGTTGGTGGCCGCTGGAGTTTTGAAGCCCTCAGCTTTGCCTGCCTCCTGGCCAGCGCCATTGCTGGAAACGCCCTATTGCCACAGGCGCAGCCAGCATCTCCGCGTACGCGCCGCGGTGTCATTTGCCGCTTGGCATTGCCAACGTTTCAGAAGTTTCACCGCTCCTCGGCGATTTGCTCACGGATTCCATTATTGCCGTTCCGCCATTTGCAAGCCGCATGCCATGGCCTGACCCCGGCTGGCGGTGTTGCCTGGACGTGGTTTTGCACTCGGACCGCTTTGCTTGGTTTCACAACAAGTTCCGAAAAAAAAATCTGGATATCCTCAAGCGCGGGGTCTTTATTGATTGACGATGAGCATGTTAATGCGTGTGGCGGATATTACGATGGGGTACCAACTACTGTACCCACTGTTTTTCGCATTTGCCGCTGTTCGTTGGAAGGGGACGACGCCACGCTTTCGTTTTTGTTTGGCAGTGGGTTCCCGCAGGTTGGATCACAGGTTCCACCTTCAGGGCAATGCCTTGCCATGCGTCAGTCAATGCTGCCATATGGGGTTTTTGATGCTTCGAGGAAGTGGAGGAAGCAGCACATGCAAGTTTTACCAGTGCTTGGGGTGAGCCGAGAACCGCGACGCGGGCACATCTTTTCGCGTTAGTCTTTTCCGCTCATATGGCGGTTTCCAGAAATGGCGCGCCGGGAATTCATGAAAAGGCGCATGTTTGACCCCCCCGATACATACGCAGATACATACCCCGATGCATACCCCGATGCATACTTCGATACATACCTCGAGACACACCCCGATACATACCCCTATTCAAACAGGTGACCACGGCCTAGCCGGAAACACTCATATGTGCTGTTTTGGTTACTGTATGGCTCCCGCTTTGCTGCGCCCCCCCAATTGTTCCACAGAGAAACCCGACAATTCAGGCAGCATCGGAGTGTCCGCTAAGGCGATGTTTTTTTGATGTGTTTTGATGTTCGCCATAAATGCGATGCATGTCTCATGGTGCTACTGACCGCAACCGGTTGTTTCGGGTCAGAGTCTTTCTATGTTCTTTTTCTTGGCCGCGTGCCGTGTGCTCCTAATTTTGCTGTTCATGACGTATATGATGTCCTGACAACACGCAGACGTGAGCGTGTACGTTGAGCAGCAACGCAATGTCGCACAAACCTATGCCCCCGCTGCTGATGACCAGGACCGTTCCCATTGAATGCTTGAATTCCTTCTTCCCATCACATTAATATACCGCGTGGTGGTAGCTGTCGTTCTGGCGCGGGTAATATGCGGGGGGGGGCATTGGCAATAGCATGCAATAACCGCGTGGTTCAATGTTGTCGATCAAGGAATTACGCTGGCCGAGGACCGCACATGTTTTCTACGCGAGCACAACACAAAACCGGGAAACAAACAATCTCATGAAATTCGAGCGTCAGCAGTTACACTCAATTGCCAACATCCAAGTGCTAGTGCTTTCTGAAAGTACGGCCTGTGTCCACCAAACCGTTTGACACACCCTTCCTCATGGGCGTCGCCGCGGGAATGTTGACCGCCTTTTACCTGGATGATGCACTGTTGAGACGCCCTGTTGCACGAATTGCCGCCCAAGTCGCATCATTTGCCGCACGCATCCAACTTTGAATCGTATGGCGATATCATTGCAGCGCGCCTGCGGTAAGGTTCACGACCCGCGGGGTGCACGCCTGCGACTATGTACGTGGGAACTAGGTGCGTTGCGGCATGTCTTCGTGTGTTCCTGCGGCTAGTGTTGCGACGGGTGGAGTGTGTTGCGGCTTGTTGTGCAGGGACGCGTCTTTAGGCTTGACTTGTTTGATTGGTTTGATTGCACAGCTTTCGACAGCGCTGCAAGGTTTAGGCTGCCAGAGGGATCCCCTCGAGCTTGTCAAACCTTGCTTTTGCATTTTGTTTTTTCATGGCTGCGGACTCCGGCGAGACTGAGCGCAGCTCCGACGAGGCCTTAGAGGATCTGTCTGACGTGGGACTATGGGCTATTCATCCGCTGGTTTTGCGGCGCAAAATGCCGCGTGCTCCTCCCAGTATGGCGCCTTAGCCTACGCGCGAATGGCTGCAGAAGAGTTTCTTGGTGCAATTCGGAGCAATAGAATTTGGCCCACGAGGCGTGCCAAGAGCCTCGCGGCAGCCACCTTGGGGCTAACGTGCTGCGAGATTGAGCAGCAAGAGCTTGTGCGCTGGCGTCGGGAAGTGGTGGTGGTTCTGCAATCTGCCAAGCTGCCTATGTGTGAGCAAAACCGCTTAGCCTCGCATCCAGATGCAGCCATAGCTGCTGCAATTGGAGCAGCGCGTGCCACAACTATCCGGAGCAGAGTGCATGAGTGGAAGCGAGCTGAGCGTCATTTTCATGCTATTACTGCGCACACAGGGCCTACGCGCGTTGGGGTTCTGTTGGATTATTTCCACGAGTGTCGGTTGGAGCCATGTGCTCGCTCCGTTCCCTCTGCCATTCTGAAGAGTTCATCCTTCATGGAGAAGGCCGGTGGCGTGCCAGAACAGGATCGTTTTTCTGTGATGCCTGTCGTGCGCAACACAGTCAACCAGTTCACCATGGAGCTGGAGATGGGCGCGCCACCCACGCGCAAGGCGCCATTGCTTCCTGTGGCGACGGTCTGCAGTTTGGAGCTCGCGGTCTGTGACAGCTCGCAACCCTTAATTATATGCGCGGGGTCTTGTTTTCTACAAGCTGTTAAAAATGTGGGTTGCGTGCCGCAGCAGTGATTTGACTGGCTTGAACCCTGCCTCCTTAGTGCTGTCCTCTGAGACATCCAATCCCTGAAACAAACAGCGCGGATTCGGCGCCGCCATGCAGGTGATGTTGTTCAAACGTATAGCCGACCTGCCTCCTGGGGACATCATGAGAACATGTGTTTTTCGGGGGGATACTTGGGAGCTGTTGCAACCTAATGGTTGTCGACGGCGTGGGAACCCAAAGCAACGCTGGTCCACCGAGGTGTTTCAGCTAATTGTACAGATGGCCGGTGAACGCAGGTACAGGCAGCTATGGCATGCCTTGGAGGTAGATCAAATCTTTCATTGTGAACTCCATGGAAATGCTTATTGGCAATCACTCCTTATCAACAAGCGACAATATTGATAAAACAATTTAAAGCAATGGTGTGTTGAGACAGGTAGTCTGGACTGCCTGCTCCTTGACGTGCTCCGCTTCCGAGCGGGATATCAAATACGGTGCAAATCCCCCTCTCTGCGAAACGTGGTCTTCACCACGTGTGTACTTCAGACTTCTTCAGATCATGCGTCGGGGCATGTCCCGGACCTCGCCAATTGTGAGGGCGCGTCGCAGCGCCACACCGCAACGCCGCAACTCTATGCATTTCCTTGCACTATCCGCTGATGGTGTGACTCCGCCGGCCAACGATTCCATTTCTCAGATCACGGTTCCCGGAACACTGGCCCCCACAATCCTGGATGAGGAAAACCTTTGTGGCATGTCCGCTGACCCTGCGTCGCCACGGCGATCGGTTGCGCGACCCACACGCAGGAGTCTTGCTTCGCCTGACGCCGGGGCATCTCCCATGACTGATCTAGCACGCGCGCCCGCCACAATCGTGGAGGGGCCATCACAACCAGACAGCTGTCATGATGTTTGTGCTTTGTGCCAACAACCCATAGTTGAGGATAGGTCATCCCGCAGTCCTAGCTCCATCTGGCGATTTCTTTGCAGATGTCGCACGCGAATGCATCTAGCTTGCATGGTGCAAATGCGTGTGCGCAACCATGCACCTGCTTGCATGCACTGCCGGGACCCATGGCCAGGTGAGTCTGCGGACGCCGCCCTGGTCAGCGCATGCCAACAAGCGAACGTGTCGCTAGAGGATTCTTGGGAAAACTTGCCGGAACAACCAGAGCATGACATCCTTGAAGGCATGCCCCCAAGACCAGATCATGTTCTCGTCCTGTGCTGTGCTAGTATGTCAGGTTGGGGTGGTGCGATGCATGCACGTGAAATGGAATGGTCCCCCAACCGCATGTCTCAAATCAATGAACAAGGCATCCGTGTGCAAATCGGGTGGCAAGGCGAGTGGGGTTGCAATACTTGCGGCTGGACCATACTGCATGAGGATCCGGAAATTAATGGAGCTGTTGCTGCAGCTGATTCTGCTAATTTCTGCCCGGCTGATGGCCAGCGCACATTGATTGTGGACTTGGCGCATGGCTCCAGAAATTGGGTGTGCCTCCCTGGGTGCACTTTGCCAACGTGCATGGAGAGGGTGTGTCTTGATGAAAACATCCCTGATCAACGCCATGACATAGCATTGTTGGTTCCCGCCCATGGGTCCGCTCTCCCTATTTTTTTCTCTGCACTGCCGCCTCGTCAAAATCATGAAAGCACGAATTCGTTTGTTTATTGCCCCATCTTACTCCATAGTGGAGGGTTGTTAGAATAAGGGGCATATGTGGAATGGTGTGG